ACTGCCCTGTGAGGAGAGGGAGGAAGGATGACTACCGTGTGAGGAGAGGGAGGAGGGATGACTGCCGTGTGAGGAGAGGGAGGGGGATGACTGCCGTGTGAGGAAAGGGAGGAGGGATGACTGCCGTGTGAGAAGAGGGAGGAAGGATGACTGCCGTGTGAGGAGAGGGAGGAGGGGTGACTGCCGTGTGAGGAGAGGGAGGAGGGGTGACTGCCGTGTGAGGAGAGGGAGGAGGGGTGACTGCCGTGTGAGGAGAGGGAGGAAGGGTGACTGCCGTGTGAGGAGAGGGAGGAGGGGTGACTGCCGTGTGAGGAGAGGGAGGAAGGATGACTGCTGTGAGGAGAGGGAGGAGGGGTGACTGCCGTGTGAGGAGAGGGAGGAGGGGTGACTGCCGTGTGAGGAAAGGGAGGAGGGATGATCACCATGTTGAGACAGGGGCAGCAGGGTCCTCACCCTAAAACCCCCTGGGTAGCGGGGCCTACGGGGAGCTCACCCCCCTGGGCCTGGCCTGCTCCCCCGAGCGCACCTGCCGGGCCAGGGCCTGTGCACTGGGTCTTCACAGCCCTGTGGAGCCGGTGTTGATAAGTGTTCTCAGCAGGGGCAGGTGGGACCCGGAGAGTGAGTCACTCTTGGCAGGCTGAGTGAGGGATGTGTGGGGTGGGCATCCCCAGTGGGGTCCTACGGATGACCCCAAGGTGCCCAGACGTGGGCTATAGTGCGGTGGCAGAGCCGGGGTGGTTACCTGCACCAGGTGCCTGCACGGCTGAGGGCTGCCCTCCCCTCCCGAGCGCCTGGGGCTCGAGGCTGGCTCTGGGGGCCGAGGTGGGTGTCCTCACCTGCCCAGGGGAATGGCCAGCCCTCCATGGCCCCCGCCACCTCGCCTGTCTCCGCAGGGGTGGAAGATGGTACCAGCCAGGCCCCCGCCCGAGGAGCAGCCCGCCGCCACGAGATGGAGGAGCCCACGCCCGAGCCGGTCTACGTGGACGTGGACAAAGGGCTGACCCTGGCCTGCTTCGTCTTCCTCTGCCTCTTCCTCGTGGTCATGATCATCCGCTGCGCCAAGGTCATCATGGACCCCTACAGCGCCATCCCCACGTCCACCTGGGAGGAGCAGCACCTGGACGACTGAGCTGGGCGGCGGGACCGGCCCGTGACCCTCCCCAGCCACCAGCCCACAGCCTGTGGCCGCCGGGAGTGGACGTGGCCGGGGGGGGCAGGCCTGGCCCTCACTCGCACCCACGGGGAGCAGGGGTCTCTGGGGCAGCCGGGCTGGGGGGGGCAGGAGGCCGGGGGTCCCGGCAGGGCAGGCTCTGCAGGGGCCGGGTGGTGGCCTTCCTGGGCTTCTGGGCTCCTTCCGGAACTGGATCCAGCACGGACGCCCCTCCCCCACGTCACACAACACACATCTGGGGGGGCGGGGGGGGGTATCGTTGAAACGCAAAGTGGCGCATGGAGACCCCCAGCGAGGGACCCTGCCCAGGGGCCTGGGCGAGGGTGGCAAGGGTGGAGTGGAGGCCCAGGCGCCTGCCTGAAAACGCACAAGAGGCTCACGGTGCCGGCAGCTTCCCAGCAGTGAGTGTGTGTGTGTGTGTGTGTGTGTGTGTTTGTTTATTTGTTTGTTTTGAGGCAGAGTCTCACGCTGTTGCCCGGGCTAGAGTGCCGTGGCGTCAGCCTCGCTCACTGCAACCTCAAACTCCTGGGCTCAAGCGATCCTCCTGCCTCAGCCTCCCGAGTAGCTGGGACTACAGGCATGCACACCACCACGCCCGGCTAATATTTTTTCTCTATGTATTTTAGTTGTCCAGCTGATTTCTTTCTATTTATAGTAGAGACGGGGTCTCGCTCTTGCTCAGAGCTGGTCTCCAACTCCTGACCTCGAGCGATCCTCCCGCCTCGGCCTCCCAGAGTGCCGGGGTGACAGGCGTGAGCCTCCGTGCCCGGCCCCAGCGGTGCTTGCTTGAAACTGAAACACAGAGGGACGTGTTGTTCCTGTAACAGACACAACGTGCGGGTTGGGGATTTGGAGGAAAACAGAGAAATGGAAGGAAAAGGGGAAGGTCGCAGCCACGGCCCTCCCAGAAGCCGCCACTCGGACTCGTTTTCTCCCGCCTTTCGTGCACGTGTTTGCAGTCGCACTCACGCTCCACGCTCGGCGTCCTGTCCCCTCTGGCGGCGGCAGGAACCCGGCCCCGTTTCCCCCGACACCTGCCCGCCCGCCCGCTCGGCGGCCTCGGGGACTTGCTCAGGGCAGGTCCCGGTCTGGCCATGTCCTTTGAGCGGGCGGTTTCTTTTAAGCAACTTTTCCTCACGCAAAATTATTCTACTCAGTAACCTTCTGAGGGTGCACAGTCCAGGAGAGGAATGTCGGACAGGGAGCCCCGGGTTCTCGCCCTGCTGTGTGACCTTGAGCAAGTGACTTCACCTCTCTGTGCCTCAGTTCCCTCGTTGTAAGTTAGAGAAGAAAAGCCTTGCCAGTTTATTTTATTTTATTTTATTTTGCATCTATCGCGTGTGAATGAAAGGCCGAGCGGAGCGCCCTGAGCCGCGGGGGAGGAGTGACTTGGGCAATGACCCTCCCCGGGCCTCCCTCCCGTCCCCCGCCCACCCCACATCTGGGACCTCACAGCAAGGACTGTTGCTCCTGAGCTGCAGACCCGGTGGCAGGTCCCGCCCCCTGCACTTCCTGGTTCCATGACAACCCCGAACAACTCGCACGGCCTCTCCGAGCCCCAACTTCCTCATCTTTACAGAGGGGGAGCAACCTCTGCCTCCCAAGGTGGAGTGAGGACCAGCGAGAGGACAGCAGAGCTCCTTCCTGGATCCGCCACCACCCCCGAGAAGTGTGGGGGAGGGGCAGGGGTTCCCCCACTCCCTGCACAGCCGGGACCCCTGGGCCTCCCTCCGTTTCCAAGGCAACGCCCCCCCCCAGATGTCCAGCCAGAGCCCCGGGCAGAGGAAGGCTCACGGCAGCCTCCCTGACACCTGACCGCCAGGGATGTGTGTCTCCAACCCACATGACTGTCACTGCCGCCACTTTGCTCCCCAAGTCCCCTCCCTGCGCCCATTCCTCCCTCCCTCCAGGGCGCGGCCGCCTTCCCCATCCCTGGAGACCCGCAGCTGTGCAGGCACAGGGCTGCCTTCCCGTCACCTGCCCCCCAGACACGGGCCCCTCCCCGCCTCGGCCACCGGGGAACTGGGTTTCCAGAGCACCGCCCCCATCGGTGACCCCCGAGGGCGGACAAGGCCGGAGCTGCCCAGGCAGCGCTGGAGCGTGCGGCCGCCTCCCCTCCGCCCGCGCCCACCGTGCGGACACACAGGGACGGCCGGCGAGGGCCAGGACGGCTCGGGACAGGCGGGAGGCTGCAGCCCAGAGCCCGGGCGCGGCCCGGAGCCCACCTGGGCAGCCAGGTGCCTCCGTGAGGAGCCGGGCAGGGGGCCCACAGAACAGCTCAGAACCGACCCGGGTCAGCGGGCAACAGCCCAGGGACGTGGAAGAGGCCAGCGGCCTCCCCTGTGGGACTCGGGAGGGAGGAACGGCACCTGCCACGCGCGGGGCTTGTAACACCTGGGGCTTGTGGGCCGCCCAGAACCCCCTCCGGACCAGGGTTGGAATCTCCGGGACGGAGCCAGGAACCCTCGTTAGCAGCAGCAGCCCCAGGTGTGTCGTGTGCTCAAGAAAGTTCCAGAAGCTCTGCCTGGGGCTCTGCAGGTCCCAGTTACTTCCTTTCCACGCGGGGATTTGCCAGTGTTTCCTATTTTTACCTCTTGGCTCTTTTGGACGGCGAGGGGGAAACAACGACGCCCCAGAAAAATACAGACGTGGCGCCCAGCCCAGGCCTCCCGCGACAAGACACGGCGACTTTCACTCGGTGTCCGCGCTCCCTTCCGACCACCGTCCCCGCGCAAGGTGCGGTTCTCGCGGAGGCCGCCGCCCGAGACTCGACCTCAAGGTCTCCGTCCCCTCGGTGCGCCCCAAGCGTCCCCACGCGCGTCATGCCCACGGCCACAGAGGGCGACGCCCGGCACGCAGGGGACTGTATGGTAGACTCCTGCGACCGAGCGCTGGGACCTCGGTCATTCTCCCCGAGGCACGCGGACCGCGCAGACACGGACAGGCGGGGACGCTCTGGTGCCCTGGGGGCCGCTCGGGCCGGGGAGAAACAACATTTACTGCACCCCTCCCCCAAGAGACGGGAGGGAGGCTGCCCAGGATCCCAGCCCGGTCAGGGGAAGGGGCCGCTGCAGTTTGGGCTAGCGCAGTCGCGTGACGCTGCGGACCGCGCAGGACGCGCAGCACACGTGGCCCTCTGTGGCCAGGCGCCCTGCCGGGTCTCTGGCCGAGATGGGCTTTGGGGCCGCAGACCGGGATTCAACTGCTGCTTAGAGAAAGAAACGGACAGGGGAGGGGAGGCGGGCGGCGGGAGGCCGGGAGGGCTGCCAGCGCCCTGCGCCTAGCAGGAAGGGGATGCGCACTCCACGCTTTGACTGGAGGGAGTTTTGTTGGTTTTTTTTGAGACAGTCTCACTCTGTTGCCCAGGCTAGAGTGAATGCCGTGGCATCAGCCTAGCTCACAGCAACTTCAGACTCCTGGGCTCAAGCAATCCTCCTGCCTCAGCCTCCCAAGTAGCTGGGACTACAGGCATGCGCCACCATGTCTGGCTGAATTTTTCTATGTATTTTTTTAGTTGGCCAATTAATTTCTTTCTATTTATAGTAGAGACGGGGTCTCGGTCTTGCTCAGGCTAGTCTTGAACTCCTGACCTTGAGGAATCCTCCCGCCTCGGCCTCCCAGAGTGCTGGGATGACAGGAGTGAGCCACCGTGCCCGGCCGACTGGAGGGAGTTTGATGAGAGAGGATTTGATTGGGCGAAGTTAAGGGGAACAACAGGGAACAGCAAACACCCGGGACGGGCCCAGGTGGAGCCATTACCACCTCTACAGAGAAGGCAGGGCGTTTCAGGGCACAGGGAGAGGATCAAAACCCCCCTAAACTGCACCCAGTAGGAAGGGAGGCGGGGAATAAATGCCTTGACCCTTGACCTCTCACCTCCTGCCCTGCAGTGTCCCGTCCGGGTCCCCACTGGTCCCAAACTATAGAAGCTGCAGCCCAGGGGACGCCGGGCGGCCCCCACACATCAGCACCCTGGAGCAAAACCGGAGTACCCGGGCGATCCCCCTGTTACCATTTAGTGTCCGTTCACGAACTTTGCTTAGATGGGTGGGGGGAATCTGTCCCCAAGAAAGGGGAAACAAAGCCCCACCAGCCACCGTGTTGTCTGGGGGTGAGGCCTGCTTAGTCCTAGCCCACCTGGAGCTGAGTCGTCATGCCGCCCCCACCAGGGACGGGACTCACTTTGTGGAACGCACACCGGGTCTCGGGGCCCAGGGAGGTGGCCCGGCCTGCGCTGCCCCACCGTCCCACACCCCTCGCCCTTCCAGCCGCGCCTCGGCTGACCCAGAGCTCCATCCCCAGAGGGTCCAGGTTCCTGGTGCACTGTCCTCACTGAGTCGCCGGAGGGCCCCCAGATCCCCAGGGAACATGGAGAAGCCTCGAGGGGCACACCTGGACGCCAGGTGCTCTCGGGCGGAGCCACCCAAACCAGCGACCGACACGGACACCTCGGCATCTCTCGGAGGTCTGCTGGGAGTCTGGACGCACGTCCCCGCCCCAGACCCGCAGACCGGAGCAGGGGACCGAGGTTAGAGAGAGCGCTGGTCCTCTCGCCCCCACTGCCCAGCAGAAACCCCACTCCCCGTGGACGTGGGGTGAACCTCCTGACAGCACAGCGGCCCCTCTCTGCCCCCTGGTTCCGCACGGGGAGCCCCACACGGCACAGGACCCCGTCAGCCTCTAATCCAACAGACCTTAACTGCGTTCCCCGGGGGCAGCATTTCCCCCTGGTCACCAGGGCTCCCAAACCCACCACACCTAAGGCTATAGACGGACAGAACACAAAATCCCGCAGGCGGGTCACTGGGTACGACGGTGAGAAGAGTCCCTCCCGCCGCCGTCCCGTGGGTCCCAGACTAGGGTCTCCCAGCGAGGGGCAAGATGGCGCGTGGCCTCCATGTGGGCCTCCGGGCTAAGATCAGCGCCGCCCCCTGCAGGGCAGCCCCCAGCTCCGAGCCTCCAGAGGCCTTTCCAGATCTCGGCCACCCAGCCGGCTCCGTGGCACACGAGTGGGTTTCGTGGGTATGAGCCACCGCTGCCGCACAGGGGGGTCCCTTGATTAAAAGCCACGTGTGTGGGACGCTGAGATGGTTTGAACGAGTCGCCCGAAGTTCACGTGTTGGAAACCCGACCCCCCCCAAGCAACAACATCGGGGGGGGGACCTCACGAGATTAGGCCACGAGGGCGGAGCGAACGGATTAGTGCTGTTATCTCGGGAGCGGGCTGTCACAAAAGGGGGAGGGGGTGGCCCCATCTTCTCTCTCTCTTGCTCGAGTGGTGCCTCCCACGAAGTCACCACGCTGCACCGAGGCCTCACCAGGTGCCGGCCCTCAGTCTGGGCTTCCCGGCGCCCGCCACCGTGAGCCAAGAAAACCGCTGTTCACTGTAAATCACGAGGTCTGCGGTGTTCTGTCACAGCACACAAAACACACCAAAGACCACGGAC